CCCCCCCCCTCCTCCCCCCTCGTCATCCTGCACAGACCGAAGCTCCGCACAAGTTCAGAGAAATCACGATTATTTCTTTATTTTTCCATTCTTCTCCACGAGCTGATCCCGAAGCATTAATGCGAGCGGTGAGAGGAAGGATGCACTGAAAGGTGCTCCTGCATGTAGTCACCCCCCCCCCCCCCCCCCCCCCCCCCCCCTCACGCGCGCAAGGCAAAGGGGGTATATTTAGACGGTGATATGGTGAATGTGGAATGTGAGCCGGTTATGTAACAGGTTTAGCCATAAACAGAGGCGCGCAGCTGAGAGCAGAAATCACACACCCCCCCCCCCCCCCCCCACAAAAAAAAAAAAGTCCATTTACTCACTTCTCACTGTAATGATCACAGTAATCGTTCAAAAGACTCTTTAGCGCGAGTTTATCCAGCGCTTCGGCGCAATTGAAGGGACTTTTTGGGGGCTGGAGCGCGCGCAGCCCGCGCGCTTATGTAATCCAGAGAAGGGTAAAAGACAGGTAGTTCCTGGTTAGATTTTATTTATTTATTTCCTCTTACAAGTCTGACTTTTGAGACGCTCCTAACCTGCTGACCCACATTCACCCCCCCCCCCCCTCTTTGTATGTGCATGGATTAAAGTGCGTCTGGGAAAGAGAACGACAGGAAAAAGAAGCGTCTGCTCTGTTATGTAATGCTGAATGGGTGGAAAGAAGAAAAAAAAGTCAGTTGGGACAATCTCTGCACTGTTACAGAAGTTTTTTTTGTTTTTTTTTTCTCACTAAAACTTTATTGTGCCTCCTTTGAAAACAGCAATACAGAACAGAAGTGTTGATTAGCAGTGGAGAATTTCAGTAAAAGTTTGGAAAACTTTTATAACTTTGTCTTCATTAAAACCTGTAAACTCCCTAACTGTGTCCTATCACATAAAGGGCCGCACGCTACGAAGAGAAAGTCACTTCCCATGGAAACCAGTAGCTGACTGTAAAGGTTTTTACTGCTTCCATGCATAGAAGGCTTCATGTAAGGGTCTGCAACCTGCGGCTCTTTGGAGCTTTGAGCAAAACTAACATGGACATTAATATTATTTATATTTAAAAGCCACTAGGAAAACAAAAGATCCCCCCCTTCAAGATTTATTATTCAAAAACTTTAAATAACATTTGAGTTAACATTTATCACAACTCAGTATCCAACAAATTGACCCGGTTTCAGTCTCCGCTTGAACTTTACGCTTTAATTTCAAAGGAGATACGTATATTATACATATACTTATATACTTATAGTCATTTCCTGGGGCTGCGGTATTGATCATTGTCATTGTCTTGTGATCCTGAGGTTGCGAGTTCGAGCCCAGGTTGTCTCAGGATAAAACAAATAGCCAACTCGTTCATGTGGATTTGCTCGCTGTAGCAACCCCTGAAGAAGGGCGCAGCTGAAAGGAGCTTACTTTTACTTATATTAGTTTTCTACAAACAACTTAGAGGCCTGCATATATTTTATTATACGAATATTTAAATTTTTTCAATAAGTTTGATCTATTTTGTTGCCTTATCATATATAAATCAATACAAGTCAACAGGCCTTTATATTCTTAATGTCATAAAATATAGTTTTTATAAGCATTATTTATATAAAACGTAATATATTGTGTTATTTCAAGCAGCTCTGAATATATTTTATTTATCGAGGGGAAAAGCAGAAACCGTTCTTTTGATTGTGAAGGTTGCAGAGCTTTGTGTAAAGCGGACACTGCAGCAGGTTGTAGCAAAATGCGCAGTTGAATTTAGATCTTTATAAAAGTTTTCCATGTTAAGAAGTTTGTTTTTAGGATTAGGGTTTGACTTTCAGGGTTCCGCTGTTCAGGCCATAACGAACACGAGAGAGGCGGCGGACTCTTTCTCCAGCTCTGTTTGTTTCTCCTCTCTTCTCACAAGCTGTGCTCGACTTTCTGAGGATGCACATTTCTTACCCTGCATACTGAGAGTTTACCGTTTTAACCCTGAGGGCTAATACCTTTTAAGTACAGTAGAGAAGGGCTGACTTCAGCAGAAGCACCGCAGCAATAAAAGACTTGAGTGTGTCAGGAAAAAAAAAAAGGTCATTAAAGGGCTGTGGGGATCATTATTGGAGAGGAGAAGGAGTTTATCTTTATATTGGAAAATTTCTTTTTGCAGATTCGGTGACGGTCAATACAAATGATACACAGGTCTGTGGAAAGGTGTGAAACTTCCCGGGAAACGCTAAAACCACATATCTTGTTTGGATACTGTGTATTATTTATATTTCAT